GTGGCACGTCCACCCTATGAAAATCTGGGCCCTTTAAGGGGTCTCGAGTTGGCCCTTAAATGAACACATGATTTTCTCTGCCAGGCGTCTGCTCTGCGATGGCCCCAGCTCTCTCAGTGGGAGCTGAAAACGCCCATCATCCCAAAAACAGTCTTTCACCAACCTAAGCGCTCCTGAGATGAGTTCACAGCAGGAGGGAAGGTGTTACAGACACAGCCCCTTTCGTCAGCTTACCCGTGGGTTGGCTGGCAGGGTGGGAGGTATTTAAACCTTCTCCCACAGAGGCCTGGTGAGGAAAAATAAACAGCCTGGCTTTGCGGTAGCTAAATTGGGCCAAATTCTGCCCTTTTGAGAGCAAGCAGAGCAAAGTGGTTTTCACCACCTTCCTTCTGGCTGTCGCATCTCGTGGTGAAAGACACCGGATAGGTTTGCTTCCCTCCTGGGCCATGCGCTACGCAGCCTGAGAAAGCCCCCTAGAATTTCAGACCTAGCCAGAAACCCCCACCAAATGAGCTCTAAGAGATGCACTCGGATCCTGCCTTCGCTCCAGACACTGGTCGTTACCCTGAATGCTCCTTCGTTTCCGGTAAAGCTGTATGCAGATTCGCCCCCATGCAGCAAGAGGAGTTTTCTGTAGTTATTACAAAGGCTAACCCTTGTGGATGGACGAATTGGAAAACTTGGACTTTTCAGGTGCCCTGAAAGAAATTCCCGGGACATCCTGTGGCAAACGGGGATTGTCCCAGGACAACTGGGATTCACAGATTTTAAGGCCAATAATGACTATTACGATCAGTTCCTTTGACCTTTACGGAGCTCACTAACTTGTGTCTAATGAAATGATCCGCTCAGAGAACGGGCCAAAAATAATTGCTGGAGCAGATCTTCCAGAAAAACATCCCATCTCGATGTAAACGTTGTCAATGGTGGAGAATCCACCACTTCCCCAGGGAGTTTGTGCCCTAAATTTCTGCCTTATTTCGAATTGGAATTTGTCTAACTTTAACTTCCAGGAATTGGTTGTGCCTTTCTCCTCTAGCTTAAGGGGCCCGTTAGGCCTGGTGAATGTATTTATAAGCTGCAGGCGAGACCCCGATGAACTAAACAGACCGAGATACGAAGCCTCTCCCAGCAAGGCGATTTCCCAACCCTCTGATCGTTGGTGCGGCTTTTATCTGCGTTCAAAATGCAAAACTGGCAGCAGCTTTCCCGGCTCTGCCCCTCCCGTGCCCGGTGGAGAGTCACTTTAATAACAGCAACCCAGCCAGCCCCGAGCGCTCAACAGATCAGGGCTCAAAGAAACTCACGGGATTGGCTGGGATCTGGGTTCGTTTTATTTACTTCTGGTTTCTTGACTCGAGTCAAGTTTCTAAACTTTTCTCTGTCACTCCCAGAGCTGCACAATTTTTATTTGTATTTGATTGTAATGAAAACTTGAACTAAGCTCACGAATCTGGAGCTGGGGACTTTAAAAAGAGAGGAGACGGCCAGGCAGCACCGAAAATCTCCGGAGCCGGAGACACTGCCGGCGACCAGGCCTGCGGACTCGTCTCCGGCGTGCAAAGGCTGCAGGACACGAGGCCGTGAAAGGGGCAGCGGAGGCGGGATGGGGCGGTGGCTCACTCAGCGAGGGACGGCCCGGAACACGTAGGGGCGCGGCACGTTCCCCAGGCCGCTCATCACGGGGGAGATGTCGATGTCCTCCGGGCGAACGAGGGGTGTGAGGGTGAAGCGCTGCAGGACGGTGGTGAACAAGAGGAAGAGCTCCATGCGGGCCAAGCCCTCGCCCAGGCACACCCGCTTCCCTGGGGAAAGGAACACAGTGACCGGCCGGGCGCGGGGGTCAGAGGCGTTTCAGGATCCATCGCGCCCCACGTCTCGGTTACCCTCCCCCTGCACTTGGGGATCAGGCGCCTTTAAGACCCTTTCATGTTCCCTGTATTCTGGGGACCGGCCCCCAGTGTCATTTACAGCAGCCTTGGGGCTGCTCTACCTCATGCTCCGCCCCCAGGAGGCCCCAACGGCCGTTCCGGTGCTCTGCCGTGGGTCAGTGGCTGGGTCTGGGGCCGGGGCTGGCCAGCCCACCACTGGGGAGGGCCCTGGTCATTTCTGCCCCACAGCGACACAGAGGGGCCTGATCCCTCCTCGCCGTGACCCCCAGGCCGTGGAGCCAGGCTGAGTTACTCCATCTGAGGTCGGGGCCGGTCCAGGCAGTCGCATCCTCCGAGGCCGGTGCTGGAGTAGACGCGTTAGTGGAAACTCAACCTGTCCCC